TCCTGCAGGGGCCCGGGGCTGTCAGGGCAGCAGCTAGGCCGGCCTCCACAGGGGACAGGGGTCCGGGAGCTCCTGCAGGGGCCCGGGGCTGTCAGAGCAGCAGCTAGGCTGGCCTCCACAGGGGACAGGCGTCTGGGAGCTCCTGGAGGGGTCCAGGGCTCTGTGGACAGCAGCTAAGCCAGCCTCCACAGGGGACAGGCGTCTGAGAGCTCTTGCTGGGCTGTAGGGCTGCAGGCACTTCTGGAAGCTTTTCTGTTAGTGCTAACCACTCCCCCGCGCCCGAAAAAAAAAACCATTGCCGTGGAAAGAATCCTGACTCATAACAACCCTATAGGACAGAATAGAACGGCCCCCTAGGGTTTCCAAGGAGTGGCTGGTGGATTCAAACTGCCGACCTTTTGGTTAACAGCCGTAGCTCTTAACCACTGCTCCACCAGCGCTCTGTTAATATGCTAGCCTTTAAAAATATGTCAGTGAGAGCAGTGCTGCTTGTTCAGTAAATCACAAAGTCGGCGGATTTTATTTTTTATCATTTCCTGCAGGGTTTCCCAATGCCTCGGGTACGTAAATAATATGCCTCTGGATTATTTACCTGGAAAGCAGCCAGCCTGCTCTCCTCTGGGCTGTGCAGAGGCAGTGCCATCCTGGACCTGGGTAAAACGGGCACAGAGGCAGCCTCCAGGAACGGCAGCCTCCCAGTATTCAGTGGGAGAGGAGCTCCCCCAGGGCCTCCCTCTGGGCGGTTCCTGAATCCCCCCACCTCACTCTCGGAGCCCGAAGGGAGGAGGGTCCTCACAGCCTCTGTTGCAGACGTTTTCTTCCTTCCACGCTGTGACGTCATTCTTTCTGTGTTTTTCCCTGCAGGAAGTCGGAAGCATCATCGGGAAGGTAATTATGGGGTGAACTATGTACTTTGGGGTCGTGTGCCTGGGGGTCCTGCAGTGGGGAGGAGCGAGGCTGGCAGTAGATAAGGCGTTTTGTTGTGCACTAAGTATTTCCAGTGGAGTCACGCCCTCTCACCCCTGTAAGGAGACCCACTCCTTGCCTTCAAGTTCAGCCCCATTGAAGCGGCCCCAGAGAACAGCCTGCTCGTGCTCTGTGAGAAGCTGGACAGGCGCCCCCCTGCCCTGCCCACCCAACATAACCCAGCACCTGGGCCGGGGCCAGTCCTTTCCCTGGGCCTCTCACACTGCTTCAGAGGAGGTGGCCACGGGGCACACCCTGCCAGCCTTGTGCCCGCACTTCACAGTGTGCACACACCATGCCAGCCCCGTGCCCACACTTCACAGTGTGCAGACACCACTGCCGGCCCCGAGCCCGCACTTCACAGTGTGCACACGCCCCTGCCGGCCCCGTGCCC